ACTTTGAAGTTTGCGTTCTGTTACCGCCAAAACAATAATCTAGCTTTTCACTTTTGGGATCGGGGGTACGTTACAAGAGTGACTGACGGGAAAATCCCACTGTCTTGTCTGACAAGAGTAGCCCAGGAACTGGCGGTTGGTGTTGGTACTTTCCGTTTAGCCTGTCAGTTCAAAATTTGGAACGACTTGCACAAATAATATTCGTGTAGCTTTGAGTGAAATCCAGCAAAGAAATTTTGAATTGATAGACTAGAGGAAATGCGGCTAGTGAATGTCAACAGCTGCCAACTCGTAGGATATTCTTGTTACTCTTATAGCAAACCCACGATACCAATATGCGAAGCGCGTTTTTGTGGTAACGGACACAAACCACGAATCTTCGAACTTACAATCCAAGCACGCTAACCACTAAACCATGCTCGGCCATTAAACTGAACATTACAGTGGTGCTTCAGATATAATAGGCACTTTTAAAAATGCAATATTAATATGAATAAATTCGTTCTTATAGTCAAAAATACGTAACCGCATAACCTGAGTGCTTTCGAAAGATAAACCTCTCTTAATTAAGGGCAAACTGACGATCTAAAATAAAAGATGTCATAGCTGTGACCATTTCCTTTGTGAATCTCTCCGATTTTCGATAAATCATTTTGATAGTAATGACCTGAAATAGATTTACACCATATATCGTATTTTTAGCCTCATGCCACCCACTAAACTTCTTGTCTCTAGTGTAGCTTATAGACCTATAAACAGGTACCTTCCACCTAATTCCTCTGCTATCCGTTTTTTCTATGCACAATTTCTTCACCTTCTTCTTCTCTACCTTTAAAACTGCCTAAAATCAATGTCACTCTAACTACTGCATGCTCTACACTATAATCTTTGTCAGCCAATCGTATTCCCGTTTCTTCTACAGAGCTTCCTTCATTAAAACACCTGAACCCGTATTCTACTAGCACCAACTTTCATAGTGACTTTCAACCTATATCTTATGCTTCGTCACGAACTTTCTTAAGAATAAGCAACTCCACTCTTCCTTCCCTTGAACTTCCTATTTTTTTATCTGACCGTTCCAGCGACATTCTTTTTCCAGTATCCGACAACACTCAATCTAAACAAAATTGTGAATCCCTTAATTATAAAAGAAAACAAGCTTATTGGGAAAAGCTCCAGATTCCACAAACATGCCAAGTAGCTACTCTGTAAAATACAGACTAGAAACATACTCCCATCTCTTACACTAAAAGGACCCATCACTATAGGAGCACATTGTACAACAAATGTCACCAGATTTTCGAAAACACCTCTTTGGAACTTATGAATATTAATAAGAATTTTTGTCAAATTATTTTAATATTCTAAATAAGGAAATCTGCTTCTATTGTTACCTATACAACTCCTCATTGGAAGAAGTTCACAAATTTAAAAAGAGAACTGACTCAACTTCCTTAGAAAGAATAATAAAAACCAGCCTCTTAGTAATAATACAAATTCAAGAACTGTGACTGCTCCAGCAGCATTTTTAACAATCCTTTTCTTTTTTGATAAAGTTTGTTTGAAGTTAAGCACAAAGCAATACAATGGGCTATCTGTGCTATGCCCACCACGGGTATCGAAAACCGAATTCTAGCATTGCAAGTCCGCAGACACACCGCTGTGCCATTGCGGGGCTTTTTGATAAAGAAACAAGCACCCTACCAGAAACAATTAAAATCCCATTTTATAATAATAAACATCTGAAACAAGTGTCCAAACTCAGACTCCTTAAATTATATCCCAACAAATCTCTCCCTACTGACACTATCGTAATCCAACTTTTAAAGGAAATTCCTCTTGGACACCTTCAGCAAGAAAAGAACCACATTTAGAGTTTTGTACATTTTCGAAAATAATAAAATATAGCCAATTCAAAGCTATCAAACAAACATGTAAGAAAACCAAAAAATATTTTAATTTTAATATTTTGGGTAAGCAGAGATATTTAGTCAAGATCGATTAGAGCCTCAGAAGAAACTTTTAAGTTAATAATTTATAAAAAACTTAGAGGTAGTAGAATATTTATATGTCATAAAGTTACGAATGTCTGATGGAGAATGAGCGCTTAAAAATTTAACATGTCAAATTTTAGTTTTGAATACGAACTAGTATGTAAACATTAATGTATTTTCGAAATCAAACTCTATTTATCCACTAGGCTGTTTCTATATCTATCTATGCTACAAATTGTAAAAGTAAACACGGAAACAAATATATATGCAAGTATATATGTTCAATTACTTTAAATTCAACGAACATTAATATCACATGTTTGATAAAATATTGCTTCATTCTAATTTATTTCAGTTACTGTGGCAATATTCTGAACAGTTAGGGTGTATTTACTTCATGGCAAGATCAATTTATTTAAGAACAGTTAATTAGATGAATCTTGAAAACACTCAGAAATCTTGGTGAACATCATTGATTGTATTTACAAAACTAAACAATTAATAGCAATAATATACTAATACAGTATACAGAGGGTTGAGTACGCTATACTAAAACGAATTTGAATATTCAAATCAGTAAGTCATGTTACATCCATAGCCGATGTAAATGTGCGGTGGAATATTATATATATCAGAACTGCATTTTAACGTTGTTTGGCGTTCATAGGTAATGCGATGACACCAAAAATTGATTGTTTTTTTTTTCTAGAAGGGCATGTAGTGTAGCACATTCCGACGCAAAATATTCATCCACCCCCATCGTAAAATTAGTTCAGTTCGGATGTTAAAACATTTCAAGATATCCTGTCACTTGTACTTAATGGCATTGGAAAACAAAAGCACATGGATCGACTTAAAATATCAGGACCGTCCAGAAACAGACTTTCAAGACGTCACACACGAGCGATGGTAAGCAAAGTGCGGTATCTTGTAACTGGTGTGAGTCCAAGAACACAGAAGTCAGTGACAAAAGCTGTCCACATGGCAACTGTATTCCAAATACTCTGTTTTATTTAATATTTGAATCTTTAAAAATTCTCGTATTCTATATATATCGATGTTTGAATCCTTATTGAGGTGAGTAGAAAAAAATTAAAGCACCACACATATAATACGTATAGTTCACCATTATAGTCTTGTGTTTTTTCTATTTGCTCTTGTCTAGACTTAATTATGTGAAGTGGAATTCTTCGAAAATAATTCAAGTCAGATACAGCTGGTAAATGAACTGAGAGAAGGACTTCATATTTATTTTAAAGAACTTAAATAACGTGTCTGCTAAAAAAAAAGTCCAAAAGAATAGATTAGTAACATCAGTCCTAGCTATTCTTAAAAGAACGTATATAAATGTAGGCTCATTGTAATGGTTAAAAGACAACCAAAACACATATAAACAACACACTGATCACCATTATGTATGCTTGTTTGTTTCAGATATTCGTGCGAAGCTACATAAGGATTAACTGATATAACCGTCTCTAACTGCTAGACTACAACGCCCCCACTGTACCAAGTGCGGAACTCTATTCAGCGACAACGGGACGCAAAATGGGAACCTTAGAACTCACAGTCCATCATACAAGCCACTAAGCAACGCCCAGTCTACCGTCGCTATGAGAAGTCTAGTCTTGTTTTTTTATTTGCCCTTCTCCAGGGTTTGATGAGGGTTGGAATTCCACAAAACCGGTGTATCTCAAAAACAAGTGGTGAGATGAATATATGTTTTATACCATGCAATAAAAAACTACTCATTAACAACACTAATATATTGTTATACCAAAACACGAACTTACTACTTACTTACAACCCTAATATATTTTTATACCAAAACACGAACTTTCTACTTACTAACAACCCTAATATATTGTTATCCCAAAACATGAACTTACTATTTACAAATAACCCTAATATATTGTTATCCCAAAACATGAACTTACTATTTACAAATAACCCTAATATATTGTTATCCCAAAACACGAACTTACTTCTTGCTAACGACACTATTATATTGTTATCCCAAAACACGAGCTTTCTACTTACTAACAACACAATATATTGTTATTTGAAAACATGAACTTAGTACGTACTAATATACTAATACACTATTAACCAACTACACGATTTATAAAGACTGAACTAGAACTTATTCAAAGTTTATTATAAGCTATAGTAATAAATACTTGCTTATGAATGATTCCATTATAAGCTTCGGTTAAAAGCCTTTAGATCTATGAATATTAATTAACTCACACAGCTGCAGCTGTTAGTACGGTTTAAATCAACCGTGATATTTATTAGCTATTAAAAGACGCTTAAGTAATTGGGACTAGGGATATGAATCCGTTACTTATAATGTTATAATATGGTCTATATAGTCTAAATAATAATAAAAAGAATGGTTCTGTATTCAACACAGCAGAACATTCTGCATGTGTCACAGTGTGCTCGCTCATTTGAACTTGTGTGTTTATGTGAGAGTCGGAGTTATAGGTAATTTCACCTGACGAAAAAGTAGAGTATGAGTTGAAGGAATATATGCTAAATAATTAATATCAAAAGTCTATTTGTTATTGATTATAGCAGTCGATGGTGATTAGAAACAAACAAACAGGCAACTAACAAACTCTACAAGGACAAAACGATAGAGAGTACGCAATTCATATTGAACTCTTATTAATTCACAATTGTTCGAGTGCTTCAGTAAGTAAAGAATTAATGGGGATAAACTGCTTACATTTAAATATCATATTTTAACAATTTTATGTTGATAAACCGAGCACTTATCACATTTACAAAACTGAAAACCTTTTTGTTAACTCAGAAAAGAATCTTTCTCAAACAATTTTAAAGCGTCTTCAAAAACACACTTTATATAATTCATTGCAGATATTAACTTCAACTATTGGAGTCAATTTATGATTCCTAAATACTAGTTTCTATAAATATCTTGTTGGTACTGAATCCTGACAGAAGTATGAAATGAAAGGAAACATTGCATATTTTTACCTCTTGCAGGAGCATAGATATTCAGGTAGAGACAATCTTCACTGTAGTTCTGTAAATAAGGACGTAGCCGTCGAAGATATGCTAGTCTTCCAGCAGGCATTCTTTGTAAAGCTTCGGTTTCATTCTGGATATCTGGAAACACCTGTGGACAAACAGGTGCTAGTTTGTCAGCCATCCTGACTTTTTTCCACCTGGGAAGAGTTACGGGAGGCATGAAACGTAACGACCCAATAGGTGGACTAGCAAATGGAACACCTAGGAAGACATCTACAGACTGAAGTCGACGGTTTGATAGTGTCCGAATAACACCCCTTACGGAACCATACTTTGTATGTACAACCCGAGAGGGTTGCTGGCGAGGCTCACATTGTAGCTGCTGGAATACAGCAAAAACAAATATCAAGACAGTCACACCCGTTGTGAGCATGGTGTAAAGGTTTTCACTAAGTTGTATCGTCTCAGCTAACTAAAAGCTTCTCACTGTATTATCTCTTATCCTCAGCCTTAATGTGTGTAGACTACCCGTGTAACTATTCACAAGTATAGACCATTCCGATGCAAGTGAACTTAGAAAAAGAGTTATTTCCAAAGGAATGCATCATTTAATGGCTCTTAAAATGAAAACAATTTTCCTATACATATAAACTTGTAAGTGAATTCACAATTACCAGGACAATAGTTACATGCCAATAAGTGCTATTTTCGAATAGTTTTTAAACTAAGTTCTCAATATTATCAGCTGATTCTTATCGAAGTAATCTAAGACTATTTGTCCAGGAACACTGAACGTAAATATAGATATACTTTGTAAATATTGTAAATAAAAGAGAAATAGTGTTTAGGGCCTCAGTACAATTTCTGAAATAAAAAGCTGAGTTCGTCATCTAACCAAAACGCTATCATTTTAACACAATAGTGTTTTCGGAATATCAGTTCTTTACTATTTTCCCCCTCACCAGTTTAATGAAGATTGATATTTCGTTAAACCTACCAAAGGAAAATTAAACCAATATTTAAGCTATATGACCGCACGCGAAGCCACTGTCATGAAACGTCTTCTGATGCCGTGAATGTGGATCTCCGGTAACTGTTTAATCCACACTGAGAGTGCGCAGAGGATGCGGGAGATCCCAATTTATGACATAGGGGAATAGCACTACGCATGTCTATAAAAACTAATAATATTTCCAGAAGAGTTAGAAAAACGTAGAATAGTATACAATACTCTACTAAAACATGCAAACTAAACACTGATTTTTAAAACTAAATAAATGTTTAACTATCAAATTACATATATATAATGTTAGTTTATATAGGCCTATCGGCATATTGCCAATAGCGTCATCAGCTTGTTTGTTTTGTACCAAGTGTAAAGCCATATCGATTCTTGAAGCAACAATGTAATGCTTATCAAAATTTCCGATAGTAAAAATGGTAATAAGATTTACAGTTCCTGTAACCTTGATTCAGACGGTTGTTCCTACTTGATAAAATCTAGTGAGTAAAATGAATTATAATAAAAGACAATAAAATAACGCAATAAAAGCTTATTTATGATGGGGTAATGGTGTGAGACTGTTTTATAACGAACAATACACAGTTTGTTGTCTTTTTAGTTTCGTATGAAATATGGTTTGTAAGAAAGATGGCATAATTTAAGGAACACGATTGTTCATATGCATGTTTGAAAAAGTCTATAAAAATGCATAGATAGTGTGTTAAATGTCTCAACCAGTAAAATCGATTAAAACTTGCCCCAGGACTAAAAATAAATGATAAAAAGTTTAATGGTATTCGGAAAGTGGGTTATGCCATAAAGATTTTCTAGGTTTCTAAAGTAACACATAGAAGAAATAGTGATAATAATACCAAGCTTTAACTTCTACTGGGTTCTTGTTTAAACTGAAGTTAGCTATAATGGACTCATCAAAAGTGTAACACTAAGAGAAATTCGTAAGGTGGGAACTACAAAATTGTACTTATTGTGGATTTAGACACATTAGTTAAAGCAATAAAAGTACAATTAAGAAGTACAAATTTTCAAATTATAATAACAGTATATATTTGTTATGTTAATATGGTAATACGTAGAGAAAGTAAGAGTTGTTCTAGAGTTCTTAAAATAATTTATTTGAATTCCATAATTAAAAGATTATATGATTTGAAACCAAAGTTAAGGAAAAAGAAAATCACAAATTTGTTATCGTATTTTTTCATTTTATTTGATGGTAGAGGTTTGGAACGCCTATGTTTTTTCCATTAGTTTAATGATTGAATAAACACCCACCACCAACTCTTGTGCTACTCTTTTACCAACGAATAGAGGGATTGACCGCCACATTATAACGCCCCAACGTCTGAAAGGGCGAGCATGTTTGGTGTGATGGAGATTCGAACTCGCGACCCGTAGATTGCGAGTCGAGAGCCCTAACCACATGGCCATGCCGGGCCAGTTTTATCTGACGTGTATGAGTTTGAAAAAGTGATTTTTACCACCACAGAAATACTGTAATATATTATAACAAAATGTATTTATAAATGTGTAATTTACAATAATTTACCGAAAAAGGAAAATTTGGTAGTTTAGAAATTTTTATCTTTGGAAAATATTATAGAACATATTCTTTACGAACATGAATATGGTATCACTGTTATACTGGAGTTTCGAATTCAATTTCAAAACGCAAGAATTCACAGTTTTAATCGATATACCAGTTATTTACTAATAGGTCAATCAACACATCTGTTACTGTTAATATCACGTATGAATCTAACAATTCGTAGGTCAGTCAACACATCTGTTACTGTTAATATCACGTATGAATCTAACAATTCGTAGGTCAGTCAACACATCTGTTACTGTTAATATCACGCATGAATCTAACAATTCGTAGGTCAGTCAACACATCTGTTACTGTTAATATCACGCATGAATCTAACAATTCGTAGGTCAGTCAACACAGCTGTTACTGTTAATATCACGCATGAATCTAACAATTCGTACCACGTCATGTAAACGCTCAACATAACCAACTTCTGGTGAAATAACTTTTCGTCTCCCTCCTGAATTTATGGTCTCATCTCTTTCAAAAATAAAATATTAACTATTTAAGGTTTTGGAGTAACATCGAGGAAATTATCATTGACTAAGAGAGATTGAATATTCTGACTTGGATATTGTCTAAACAATAATTTGTTTTGCGATTAGAGGGATTTAAACAGACACTTTTCTAAAAATTAATAAGTCATAAGATTTTCACTGAAATGAAAAACAAAATAAATAACACGTATAACTGCTTTTCCAGAAATCACGAAATTATATTTTTAATTATTACGAAACAAATTTTCGTAAATAGCACGAACAAAATAGTTATTTATTTATATGCAGAAGTTGATGCCTATGACTTACTTTGTATTTGAAACAGTAAACTAAAAAATTTTATTATTGAAAGAAGCTCATTCAGTTCTTTACCGAAAGGACTGAAATGCGTATTTATATCGTTTAAGGAAAAAAACCAAAAACAGTAGGATTATCACTGACATCATGAAGCATGTATTATAATGCATTCACATCCGCAATATAAACAAAAAAAGCTAAGCAGCATTTTAAGGCGCGATATTATTAGGCTTAAGAACATTCAAGGTGATTAAATAAAGTTATTTCTTAACGATAGACTTTATCCTGTTTTTGTTTTAAATCTGATAAACGAACAATAAATAAATCATCTATAAGAAGAACAGCACGAACACACAAAAGAGTCATTAGTTTATTCAACAACAGTTGTTTTCCTTTTTTTAAATGCAGATCATAAAAGATGCTTTCTTTTACTGGCAAGAGATGGGAGGTAGGAACTTTACTTTAAATGAAAATGGATTATTTCATCAAAAAGCATATTAAGCTTAATTGTCTTTCACAATGAATTTGATAAGAAAAAGGGGAAATAAGTTAGCATCAAATGTCTGAAAATCTTTGTTACAGAAATCAGTAGAAAGTCAACCCGGAACATTAATAAAATAAACGTATTTGTTCGGTGTGGAAAATGTTGAAGAGTTTCAATGAGCAAGTAAAGAGGTACCGTGAGTTAATTTCAAGCACTTTCTGTTTTTGAGTCTCTAGGGACGTTGTTCAATTTTTCAGTATCTTTTTTATGTTGCCCTTATTTCCCGAATCACAAGGAAGGGAAGTGAATCATTACAATAGAAAAATTAGATAATTCACTAATTTTTGACCTTTATATTTTAGCGTCTTCTTCTAAAATAACAGCTGTATAGATTATTTATCTAGTGTATGTAAAAATTACACGTTTTTCTTCAAGCTGTAAAGAGTGTATGTGAGATTTAATGTAGATGTGGCTCAAGTTAAAGAAACTGGGTTACATGATTCTCAAATTAACGGACTATAAGTTAAACACCAGTCCTATATTCCAAGCCTCTTTATTTATGTATCACTTTTTTTATATTACTAACGCTATTTATGCAAATAAAACAATAGTTATGTAGTTCTCTCCCCCCTCCGGCTGCTTAGTGGTAAGTATAAAGGCTCATAACACTAAAAAACGGGTTTCAATACTCGCGACGGGCAACGCACAGAGAAACCATTGTGTAGCTTTGCACTTAACAACAAACACAAAAACACTCAATTGTGCAGGATATATTTGTGAGATTCATAGATGTTTCACAATTCAGGATGTAAACACAGGTAACTACATAGTTAAAGAATTCTTGATTTGATCATACCACTCTGGAACGTTAATAAATTGAATTATATTAATTTGTATTATTAGTATATGACACATATCAGTTGCTAAATAAAAGAAGCACATATGTTTAAGCATTCAAGTTTTAGTAGTGCCCTCTGGTGACAAATACATTTTAGTTGTGCGTACTGAATTTTTAAGAAACGTATGGTTGTTGGATTTTTAGAGCAAAGCTATACAATCGGATGTTTGCACTCTGTCCAGCGAGGAATCGAACTTATCGCTGACCCACCGCGGGAATTAGAAATTGTAGAAATTAAACATTTTTGTAAGTTTTTATTTTTAGATTTGTAAAATTCTTTTGTTATTGTCTATTTGAAAGTACAATGAATAAATATATTAACATCTTAATTTTCGAAAGATAATCCATAAATAAGTTTATTTTAAAAAATGTGATGTTATGACCTTTAGTTTTAACCAGAATAAAACATTTATGATTTGAGAAACTTTTTTAGGTTGTAGATTTTGTTTCTCTTAAGTATAAAATCAGAAGGTTTGTGTTATCCTTTTTAGTATCAGGTGGTGGGCAGAGCACAGATAGCCCATTGTGTACCTTTGTGCTAATTACAAACAAACAAACAAATACAATTTTAAGTATGAATTATATAATTGTTCTAATACAAGTTCATATATTAATTAAATATTTGGTTATTGTTTTATCAACTGTTTTTAGGTGGAAGTTCCGCTATTAAAAATGCCCAAATCACGAGGGAATGTAGGGATTCCTTGAAATAAATGCTCAGTTAGAGCTTTATAGAGAAAACAATTACTTCAGAGCAATGCTATTTTTTGTTCCTGTAAATAGGAGGCAGAAGTTCTCTATTATTTGGTAAGTACATCTAGATAAAAAAAAAAGCCTATTACGTTATCTCGCTTGTAATGAGTAAAGAAGGTCAAGAGGCGAATGACAAATCCCATCCACGAGGAGCGGGAAACAGATGTATGAACTTGTCACTGTGTAGAGCTATGGACAGGAACTTTCTTTCTAAATAAACAAACTCGCATGGGTTATCTGTTTGGTATTATAAATAGCACGATAAAGTTGTTATGTAAAAATAAAGGATGTTTTTTTTTCTTTTAGTTTTCTTCTCAAAGACGAACTAACTTAAGTAACTGAAATTAACAAATGTTTATCTTGAAAAAAAAACACTCCACAAACAACTGGAAATTATGGATTTGAGTCACTTGAATTCTTATCAGCTCAGGTGATAGCTATATTTACAACAAGCACCTTTAAATCCTTTATTGATAATTTTATTAATAAATAAAAAGGCGTCCATTTAA